CGAAAAATCCGTATATATGACTTTTTATATGTGTGGTCAACTATGTTTGTGTTTACTGAAATTTGTAACACCCCAATCAAAGATGTTCAAATTTTTTCTTGCAAAAGTGATCGGCGTGAACAATTGTTCATGTTCACGTGATTTTAATGGATCAACATTATTTTTTTTAATATATTTTTTATTTTTTTGTAAACTTTACATTATAACCTATTCAAATATATTCAAGAAAAAAACTTGCAAAAAAAAGTGAGACAAGTATGTAAAATTTAGCAGTTAAATTATTTCCATGCATGTTTATGTCCATATATATTGATTGATATTCTTGTGTTTAGCACCTGAAAATCTCCCTCTTGTCCTTCAAAATCGTAAAACAGCTACCTTGGTCCTCAAAGCTCTAAAAAAAGACAAAAATATGCCTGCCCTCATATTTGAGTGGAATCAGGCAGGTTTCAACAATGTTCCCACTGCTTTAGGTTCTCGAAATGGCATTGCAGGCCAAAACAAAGGTGCAATTATCACAAATCTTATGGCAAATGGTGCAGGAAACTATAATAATGTCGTATTTACATTCCCAAATGGCATTGCCATTGGAGCATGGGTTGATCAGATAAATGTGAACATACCATGGTATGAATGAAGGTTGATTTCATGTTTTTCATATTCTTTAGCACCAACTTAGCTCAATCCTTCCTTTTTATTTGCTAAAGGGCAATCAATCAACCAGACATTCCAAATGTCTGCACTTCAGTCACCAGGATTAACCAGATTATTGAATGTGACGAATGTGACACAGACACACCCTCAACATTTGATATTGAGAACTTTTCATATTGTTTTGGCTTTTGATTTCAAACATATTGTATTGTTTTGCAAAAAAGGTCTAAACTATTTGCTTTAATGATTAATTATTATATAAATTGAATTGCTATATTTTCTAATCTTTGCTCAAACCCTTATAAACTACATCAAATGATTTTAACAAAAAATAAATTCAGATTTATCTAAACAAATTTGTAAGATCTAATAACCTAAACATGCTAAATATCTATAAATCACATAATTGTATAAACTTCTAATAATTGTTAATTATGTCAAGCCTCATTATCTTAGTTATCAAGAAACTTTAAGGAATCTAATTTCTATAAGAAAAGATCAGTGTTGATGGTGAGGATATATTGGTGAAAGATATGCTTGATGTTTTGATATCAGCAATTGATCCTGAAACAAATCATCCTTATACTGATGAAATGGTAATTATAATAATAATGATATTATTATTAGATTGATATTTAATATCTAATTTTTTTTTTGTTGTTGCATTAGGTAAATATGTTTATTAGTGTGTTTGTTGTTGCTGAATATCATTCAACTGGTATAGCAATTTCTTGGACTATATTTGAATTAACACAAAATCTTGAAATTCAAAAAAAACATCAAGAAGAAATTGATCAAGCATTAAAATGTTATTTGCCCACATTTGAAGGTGATCAATCATCATTGAGAATTTTGATAGGATTAAATTTTTGAATATATAAGTTATGATTAAAAGGAAATCCTATCCTAATTCATATGCTGAAAATTGACATATGCAAAGGCACCTGATAATACACATGTATTATTTAACATTTACACAAGATTAACATATAATTATTTTTAAGATTTATCAAAAATGGATTACCTGACTCAAGTTGTTAAAGAATCTTTGAGAGTTCATCCACCTGGAGCATTTTGTGCACGTTTCTTAAAATCAGATATGAATGTTGAAAAAAATACAACAACAAAATCTTCATTATCATCTTCAACAATTGAACCTCACAAGATTGATAATAGCCTTTTGTTAAAATCAAATACAACTATCTTATATCCAATTCCATTGTTACATGAAAACCCAAATTTTTTTGAAAATCCATTGGAATTCAAACCATCAAGATTTGCCACCACCACCAACACCATTAAACCATCAACTTATTGTCCATTTGGATTTTGTCCAGCTGAAAGACTTGCATTGTTAGATGTCAAAATGATGATTTGTCTTATCTTCCAAAAATTCAATGTTGAACTAGCAATGAACTTAAATGATGTTCAGAAAGAAGAAAAATCTGCTATTATGGCTAAAAATGATATATTGGTAAAATTAACTTTAAGGAATAAATAATATTATCATTATTACTATATGACTACAATTACAATTGCAATTTTTGGTCTAAAATATAATTATTTTGATCAACAACTTGTATTGTTATTATAAAATAAAATCAGATTTTTATTAAATTTTTTTTTATGTAGATATAATAAATAAATCAATTTGTCATTTTTTTCTTTTTTCACCAAAAAATAATTTTAATTAGTTTTATTGATAATTTAAGATTCTGCTTCGTCCTTTTTGAATACATATGTAAGACCACACTTTTTTTTAATTAAAAAAAAAAAAAAATTAATATTTCTTTAAAATATGCATGTATGTACAAAACAACCACATACACAAACATAATATTTATTATTACCTTTCCACAATATTGACGATCATAATGCCATGCCATAAAGATACCAGCAC